TACCCCGTGGCCATGGGAAGCAATCGGGGTACGGTGACACGGGTCACGGCAGGAGCCAGTATTAACGAGGCTGACTGTAAAGGCTGTACCCCCTTACACTATGCTGCTGCTTCGGACACGTACAGGCGGTGAGTGTCTCGGGGATGCGCGTTCCTCGCTGCTGGGGCTGGAGACGATGGCACGCTGCTGGGCAGTGACGCTCCGCGCTTCCCTGGCTGCCTCCCTGCAGCTGGTGCTCCGTGGTTTGCGAAGAGGGGAGCGCTTGGACGAGCGTGCGGGTAGGAGGGGGTAATCAGCAAACTGATGCAGGTCTCTGCCCTTTCAGAGCAGAGACTCATTCAGGAAACAGCCATGACACTGATGAGGAGCCACTGAAGGAGTCCAGGCTGAAGGAGGCATTCTTGTGAGTCCGTGCCACAGCCCTCTCCGGCAGTTGTTTGTTGTTTACCCCTTCCGGGACCCCTGCCTGCAGGCGCTAGAAATACCTGGCTTCTGCTTACGCCAAACAAGCGGTGATGCCTTGAGGGAAACATCTGCCGATTTGATTCTCGAGGCAAACCTGGGCATCGCTTCCAGCAGGCTTTGCATGCGCTCCGTGTCTTGGGGGGATTAGTACAGCATCTGCTCTGGGATCAGAGCCGGGGGGCCCTGCAGAGCTCTGCCTCTCCAATCTCCCCTGTCTCTTCATCTCCCCTTTCTCTTGCTCATTGCAGTTGTTTAGAGTTCTTGCTGGATAATGGTGCTGACCCATCCCTCCGGGACAAGCAGGGATATACCGCTGTCCACTACGCAGCTGCGTACGGCAACAGGCAGAACCTCGAGCTGGTGAGTGAGCCGGAGAGCCCACCCCTGTGCCAGGAGAGGGGGGAATTCCCCCCTCAGGAACATGTCAAGCCCTGTGGTGTGCAGGTGCATGTGGTGTGGGCGCTACGGTGTCAGGGTTTGCCCAGGAGGAAGAGACATGGATGTGATTAAAAACCATGGGGACTCCTGGGGAGCCGTCATGCTGGGAATGCCATGGAGGAAAGACCTGGGCCTGAGAGAAAGGAGCTTTGTTACCTGGCACAGGGGGACGTATGGATGTCTTGCTTAAAACCCTGGCAATAGAGCAAGGTTGGGCTTTTAAAAGAAAGCCTGGAGACCTGTCCCAAGGAAGAGCTCTCGCAGTATGGAAAATGCCTTCTACCTGTCTGAAATGGCTGTGTTGTAGCAGGGTAAGCTCGCAGCCCTGTGGGCACAGGAAATCATATGAACAGTGAGGTGCCTTCTGGATGGCAGGGACTTGATGTGACTGTCCCAAGGACAGGTTAAGGAAGGTCCCGTCCTGAAATTTAGATCATTCTGAAGCAGATGAGCTGGTTTTCTAACCCCTCTGCATCCAGCCGGTACACAGGGTGTCTGTTGAAGCATCTGCGAGTCCAGGATCTGTTATGGTTTTGTGTTGTTGCTGTTGCAGCTCCTGGAAATGTCTTTTAACTGCCTGGAGGATGTGGAAAGCACCATTCCAGTCAGCCCTTTGCACTTAGCTGTAAGTACGGCTGGCCCAACCCCAGGGTTGCGGAGGGCGCTTGGCTCCATGCAGGATTCGTTCCGAGTCCTAGAGAGGTGCCCGCTCCCGGGCAGCGTGGGCTGGGTCCCTGCAGCACTCGGTGCTGAGCGGGGCAAAGTAGGAAAGGCGCCGGGGAGCAGTTAGACCACAGGCCGTCGGTCAAAGCCCCTTTGATTTACGTGTTAAACTCCTTGCTCTCTCCAGGGCTTTCGGGTTGCTGCTGTTTGGAGCCGCTTCCCTTGTCTGAGTGTGGGCAGCGGGAGGGGGCGAGGGCTTTACATGGGACCGGGGTGCAAACGAGAGACGATGGCCAGAGAGGAGAGCTCGTCTGGCTGGAGAGACCCAGGGAGCAGGATTTGTCCTGGGCGGGGGGGACACACAGCAGCCTCTCCGGGCACCGCTTTGAAGTGTGCTGCTCTGTCCCCAGGCCTATAATGGTCACTGTGAAGCCCTAAAGACACTTGCCGAAACCCTCGTGAACCTCGACGTGCGGGACCACAAGGGGCGGACAGCGCTGTACCTCGCGACGGAGAGAGGCTCCACGGAGTGCGTGGAGGTGCTCACCAGCCACGGCGCGTCCGCTCTGGTGAAGGAGAGGAAGAGGAAGTGGACCCCTCTCCACGCTGCAGGTGACGGAGCGCAGACGGGGCTGGGGGACAGCGAGGGAGCGTGTCCGGAGCCCTTCCAGCCGTCGGTGCTGAACCAGGGCTGCTGGTTCACCTGGCTGCCGTTGGGGGAGAGGGCAGGGGCTGTAGTTTGGGATGATGGAGCCAGGATGCGGCCAGTGCAGCCTGCTGGAACGTGCCAGCAGAAGCTGAGGGTCTAAGTGGCTCAGCAGCGGGTGGGAGAGAAGACACCCGCAGCTTCTGCACACACGTGTCTTCAGCTCAGCCTGTGCACGTGCTAATCAGTCCTGTAGCCTAGCAACCACATAACGAATTTGTCCAGCCACGTGTGCCTGGCTGCTGAACACGAGCCCTTTCCTTTGGTTTGCGGCAGCGGCTGGAAGGAGGGGACACGTTTGTGTGTGTGTTTGTGTGTGACTCCTCCTTTCCTCCTGCGTTGTCTCCAGCTGCCAACGGGAACACTGATTCCCTGCACCTCCTGATAGACAGCGGGGAGCGGGCAGACATCACCGACGTCATGGACATCCACGGCCAGTGAGTTTGTCTGGATGTTTCTCTTGGGATCTGCACCGGGTCAGGCCCCTCGCAGGGTGGCTGGGGCAGGGGAGAGAGGGCAGTGCTTGAACGCAGCCGGTTTCCAAGCCCTGCTGCCTGTTCCCCCCCCGGCAGAACCCCACTGATGCTGGCGATCATGAATGGCCACGTTGACTGTGTCCACCTCCTCCTGGAGAAGGGATCCACAGCCGATGCGGCGGACAAGAGGGGAAGGACTGCCCTGCACCGAGGGGTGAGTGCGAGCCTGGAGCCCCACAGCTTCCGCTCGTCCTGCTTGTCCTCTTGCGCAGAGGCTGCTTGGAGGGCGAGCAGGTGGTTTCTTTATCATCGTTTCGGTTGGGAAAGACAACTGGAAGATCATCAAGTCCAACCGTTAACCTTGCACTGCCAAGTCCAACCACTAAACCATGTCCCTTGTCACTAGGGTCCTCAGTGAAAGAGCCCATGTTCCTTTCCTGAAACGCAATATTTGAGAAGGACGCTGTGGAAGAAGGGGGTAGTTCTGTTGTTAAAGGATTGGAGGGTGAGAGCTGACCTCCTGGTCCTCTTTTCCTGGCCACAGGCTGTGACGGGCTGTGAGGACTGCCTGGCCGCCCTGCTGGACCACGATGCCTTCGTCCTGTGTCGGGATTTCAAAGGCCGCACCCCGATCCACTTTGCGTCGGCGTGCGGGCACTTAGAAATCCTGAGGACCCTGCTGCAGGCAGCCCTCTCTACTGACCCTCTGGACTCTGTGGTGGACTACAGCGGTTACTCACCGATGCACTGGGCTTCTTACAGTGGTAAGGACCTGGCCAGGACTCCGCTCCAGCTGCTGATGGTGGGGAGGGAGCCAGGAAGACCCAGGTTGTCCTGCTGTCCCCCACTGCTTTGGGAGCCGTCAGCTCAGCAGTGGGTTCAGCCTGGTGGGAAGGACAGCACAGACCTGGGAGGGCAGCAGGGAGTTTTTCTGCCCCTGCCAAGCTGCTTAAAAAAGGAATGAAATATGAAAACAGCTATTGTAGAACAGCTGAGGCTGCTCCCTCCAGGACTGCTGGATTTATAGGATTACTTGGCCGTCACCCTGGCTGCAGGGAGCGGTGGGACTGGTACGGCAACAGGAAGGGATGTCTCAGCGTTTCACAGGGAAGCTAGCAATGTAGCTGTGGAGTCCTTCAGGAGACAGTGCGGAATTAGAGACCTCCTGAAGTGCAGCAGCTTGGCTGCCAGAGAGGAAATAAAACCTCTGCCTCTGCGCTGGGGAACGGGTTTGTTTGGGCCCTTTGGTGCCGCAGGTCTTGTGCAGCCTCTGGGGCCTCGGGCTCTTGGGACGTGGGGAGAGGCAGAGGGACCTTCCGTCCCTTCTCGTCCCGTTGCAGGTGATGAGCCGCAGGCTGGGTGCTGATGTATTTCTGTCCCTCTCTCCTCACAGGGCATGAAGATTGTCTTGAATTGTTACTTGAACACAATCCGTTTGCATACCTAGAAGGAAACCCCTTTACTCCATTGCACTGTGCAGTGTAAGTGGCGTCTGGGACCTGCCCTGGGCTCTTCCCAGCCGGGTGACGTGGGAGAGGGGACTCTGGGTGGAGGAGCCCACACCCTGCCCTTCTTGCCAAGGGCTCTTTCCTGGGCGGCGGCAGCTCCTCAGGGTGGTACCTGCTCATCCCAGCTCCCTTGTGGCATCTCCACGCTTCCCACGAGGCTCCGGAGATGGGCTCTGGTGGGAAAAGGGTTCCACGTTGTCCCAAGCCTTTGTCCTCAGAGGTGTCTGGGGCAGCGTGAGCGTGATCCCTGGGGTCCCGCTGGGCGCAGAGAGGTTTGCAGCGGCTGATGTGATTCCTTGGCCCGGCAGCCGGGAGAGGAAGGAGTGTGCTGCCCTGGGCAGCTGCGGAGGGGTGAGGAAGGTGGAGACGTTGCCACACGCTGCCTGGGGTGGGCCTGGTGCGTCCTTGGGACCCGTAGCAGCAGAGGGATGGGCAAGGCTCTTGTCTGGCGTGGTGCTGTGCTTCCTTGAGTAATACCGAGAAGGGAGAAAGGGTGTTTTACCCTAAACAACTCCAGACCAGCTGCTGTTTGTGTCCGAGCCCTGGGAACCTGCTGCTCACTCCCACCGCAGACGTGCTAATGCTGCTTGGTCTTGTTCTAACTTTCCTTCTCGTCCCCGCTGCAGAATTAACAACCAGGATGGCACTGCTGAAATGCTGGTGGAAGCATTAGGTGCCAAGATTGTTAATAGCAGAGATGCCAAAGGAAGGTGAGCGCAGACTCGTCCCTCTCTTGTCACCCGCTCCCTGGTGCCGCTGGGTGGTGGCTGTGCCTCCTGCCGTGGTTTCCACGTGAATTCCCATGGCACAGAGGGACTCCGAGGTCCCCAGACGTGTGTCTGCAGGCCTGGGCAGTCGTGCGGGGGTGGGTGCTGTGCCCTCCTCTTTACCCACTTTCTCTTCTTCCCAGGACACCCCTTCACGCTGCTGCCTTTGCAGACAACATCCATGGTTTACAGCTGCTTCTGCGCCACCAAGCCGAGGTGGACATGACTGACAAGCTGGGGAGGACTCCCCTCATGATGGCTTCTGAGAACGGGCACACTGCAGCAGTCGGTACGTGGCTGGCAGCCGCTTTCCCCGGCATGGGGTGCGAGTCTCCCTCTGCCCCCCTTCGGCAGCGGCTCCCGTGGGGCCGTGTCCCTCTCCTCGGAGGCACGCAGGGACAGCTGCCCCTCTCCTCTGTCCCCTCAGCGCGTGGCCACTGCCCCGCATTGCCGGGCTCTGTGCCGCTGCTTCTCAACAGCAGCTGTACCCTCCTCGTTTCAGAGTTCCTGCTGTACCAAGCAAAAGCAAATATAACTCTGCTGGATGTCAACAAGAACACAGCTCTTCACCTGGCCTGCAGCAAGGTAGGGAGCCGGCCGCTCGCAGCCGGGATTGCACCTTAATGAGAGGGGTTGTTGCCTACTCCTGCCCTGCCAGAGCAGAGGTGAGGGCCCTGGGCTTGCTCTGCCTGCCTGCTTACCTGTCCTGACCTGCACAGACGCTCCCGATTCAGTTTTGAGCAACTTGGGTTATAGCACAGACCCGTCCGTGTTTTTCCTGGGGAGCTCGGTGTGCTTCCTGGGACATGGTGGGAGCAGGAGGCTTGTGATCCGTGTGCCCGCGTGGAGGAGGAGATGGTGCAGAGGAGACGGACGGGACAGCAGCTTGTCCTCTCTGCCACCCCTGCCTCCCTGCTTGTGCTCTATAAAGAGTCTGGTCTCCTTTCCAGGGTCATGAAAAGTGTGCCTTGTTGATCCTGGGAGAAACCCAAGACCTTGGCCTTATCAATGCAAGTAACAGTGCTCTGCAGATGTGAGTATTTGGACAGCTGGGGGGGAAAACAGGGCTTGGCTGGGTGGGGGTGATGCATCGGCGAAAGGGCGGTGGTAGGAGCTCCGGTCTCGCTTGGCGCAAGGTGTTAAAGGCTCCGGGTTAACGCCGCCTTTCCCTCTCCCCCCAGGCCACTCCA